TTTTTTTTAATGTCACGCCTCTGTTTTGTTTGTAGTCCATTGGGAATGCCAAAACCACTCGGAATGACAACAGCAGCCGCTTCGGGAAGTACATTGAGATTGGTTTTGGTAGAAAGGGGGACATCATCGGGGCAAACATGCGGACCTATCTGCTGGAGAAGTCGAGGGTTGTCTTTCAGGTGGGATTCTTCAGCTTGTTGCTGATTTACAGTTCTTAATGACGCAAATACTCATGAGTTTTTTTCCTGTTTAATTTTATTTATTTATTTTTTCCTATGTGCAAGGCGTCATCGGAGAGAAACTACCACATATTCTATCAGCTGTGTGCAGCCAGAGAACTGCCTGAAATGAGATCACTCAGACTGGGTGGGGCCCTGCTTCACACCTCTTCTGATTTTTATTCCTGCTCTGCTGATGGACTGACGTGTCTTTGATTTTACTTCAGAGCCACCTGAACATTTCCACTACACCAAACAGGGAGGAGAGATGCAGATTCCCGGCACGGACGATCTGTCGGACCTGGAGAGAACTCGCAGTGCTTTCACCGTCCTGGGTATTCCGCTCTTAACGTCGCACGATTGTATGAATATAAAGTTCAACAGCATGAACAGAGAAGCTTCATCTTCCTTACGCTCATTCTGCAGGTGTGCAGCCTGAGCAGCAAATGGAGCTCTTCAGGATCCTGTCGGCCGTTCTGCACCTGGGAAACGTCAACATTCAAGCCAGCGGCAGAAGTGCCGACAGGAGTTACATCGACGTAATCATTATTCTCCATTTTTGTTCTCCTACTTCATATTCTAATTCATTTAGTCATGTGAAAAAGGTTTTGACCCCTGATCAGCAAACAAACTCTCAAAGTGCACCTGTAACTTACTGTGCCATTCCAGGTTTTCAGCAACTACCAATTAATATTTTACAACTCTGGAAGGATTTTGACAGACTCTTCTTTTAGAGCAGATGCTTTGAGATCATCTCAATCAGATTGTCCAGAATTTGACTGGGCTGCTCCAAGGCCCTCATCTTGTTGCTTCTGAGTTTCTCAGCGGTGGATTTACAGGTGTGCTTTGGATTATTGTCCTGCTGGTTACCCAAGCAAGGTTGAGTATGAAATTTAAAAACCGATAGTCGGACATTCTCCTTCAGGATTTTCTGGTGGAGAAAAACACCCATTTCTTCAATAATTATAGCATCCAGGTCCCGAAGGGACAAAGCAGTGAAAGACCATCCCACCAGCTCCAACATGTTCGGCTTTAATGTGTTCTAACAAAATGCTGCAGATCTTATGCAAGACGTAACAAAATTTGAGCCCTTTGCTTTTGTCTCTCTGATCCACAGAATGTTTTTGTCAAACATGAGCAGGTTCGTTTTCATGATCTTGGCCTTGGCTCGTTTTTGTCCATTCTTATTGTGATCTTGGCCGAGGAAAGTGAAGCTTTAGATGTTCTCGGTTCCTTTTCGACCTCCTGGATGAATCGTTTCTTGGAAGGACTCTCAGTTGTTTTCTCCATGTGTGGATGATGCCCTCTCGATGATGACCTGAGTGCTTAGTATTCACTCAGGCCCTCTTTGCCTGACACTAAAATATGTTTGATCTGAGGCAAACTGTAGCGGTACGCGTTTTCTGTTTCCTCCTCAGGCAGACGACCGCTCTCTGGCCGTCTTCTCCAAGCTGCTGGGAGTGGAGGGATCTCAGATGGCTCACTGGCTGTGCAGCCGCAGGCTGGCGGTGGGGGGAGAGATGCTGGTGAAGCCCATGACCGGTCAGCAGGCTCTGGAAGCCAGAGACGCTCTTGCCAAACACATCTACGGCCAGCTGTTCACGTGGACGGTCCAGCGGCTCAACTCGGCCCTGCGATCGCAGAAGGGGAAGACCAAATCTTTCATAGGAGTGTTGGATATCTACGGGTCAGTGATGAGCTTTGGCTCTTTTGTTTGTGTGCAGCAAGCGCTCACGTCTTGCTCTGTGTGTAATGGTTTAACAAATCCCTCGTTTTGTTTGCAGGTTTGAGACTTTTGACCAGAACAGTTTTGAGCAGTTCTGTATAAATTATGCAAACGAAAAACTTCAGCAGCAGTTTAACAGGGTGAGTTGCATCGCATGTTTGCTCTAAACGTTTTACAGAACCGCGATGCGTTCATCAAAGGTTCTATTTACAAGGTTTATATTTTCATGTTTATGCTCTCTTCCGCCTTTGCAACGAACATCTTCATTCCTTTTTCTTTTAATTTTACGTTTCTAATACAAATAACAGTGGATTTTCTGTATAAATAACATAAGCGATACAAAATTGAAGGCGGTCCCTGCAGTCAGTTGACCTAAAATCAGAAGCTCAGCTTCTGCAGAGCGGGAGCTGCAACCACCGTGAAGCTGCGGCCAAAACGGAATAATTTACGAGCTTCAACAGATGCCATGGAAACGGGACGAAACATCACAAAGTTTTTCTACAGATTGCATTGCCTGATTGGATATTTCATGTAGAAATGGTTGCAGATCATGAATATGCTGTTTTAGCACAAATAAAAAATGCTGTACGTTTTACATTTTATATACAAGTAGGACATTTAAAGAGACTTTCTCACAAGTAGTGAAAATATTTTCATGTAATGTGAAATTCAATTTCGATTAATCCGTTTACCTTCTTTCATCCATTTTATATTATCTTCTGTTTTTGTTCCCTTTTTGCCAGTCTAAATGTGGTTTCGATATTTTGTAAACCCCTTTGAAAGGAGAGGCTCATCTATTCCCCAAGTTTACCATTGTATATTTTTGTCTTCTTTCAAGCACGTCTTCCATTTGGAGCAGGAGGAGTACGTCAGGGAGGAGTTGGCTTGGAACCGGATCGAATTCAGCGACAACCAGGAGTGCATCAATCTCATCGAAGGCCCTCTGGGAATATTTGACCTGCTGGACGAAGAGTGCCGGGTCAGTCTCGGTGTCTGTCTGTTTGCTAATTCGAAAGGAATCGCCATTCTCGCAACTTGTGGCTTTTGGCTCTCAATTCATTTCCATCTCCAAAACGTTGGCGTCATTCCAGTCTTTCCTGGATCTGCAATCCCAATCCTCCCAGTAACTTTGTCAGCATTATCTTTTGTATGCAGTGATTGTGGGAAAATATTGCAGCAGTGAACAGAAGCAGCTGAAAGTCTTAGTTGTAATCATCGGTTTTACTTGTAAGGATTAAATTGTTTATTTGTTTGGCCCTAAAAAAGTCATTTCAGGCTAATGCCACACGTGCTGGATGGAATGTGAGTTTAGAAAAAACGAATTAACAATTTTATTTGGCTCTGGCACTGAAGAAAACAACTACCGGCAATTAAACATACTGGAAAACATTTGGAAAAAGTGGATACTCATCCATGTACTGATTCTTTCTCAACGTATTAACTCACAATGTTTGATTAAATGTTCCAACACGGTTGTCTCTGTGTGATGGCATATATATTTCTTCTTGAATTACCCAGATGCCGAAGGGGTCTGATGAGAACTGGGTCCGAAAGCTGTACGACCAACACCTGACCAGCAAGCCCCACCCTCACTTCGGGAAGCCCAGGATGACGAACAGCGCCTTCATTGTTTTCCACTTTGCTGACACGGTAAGGAATCAGACGCTCCAATTGTTTCCACCTGTTATAAAACTCAATATTTTATGCATTTTTAAATATCTTTATCCCCTCAAATCAGGTGCAATATGAATGTGGCGGCTTTCTAGACAAGAACCGAGACACAGTGTTTGAGGAGCTCATCAACATTCTCAAAGCAAGTCAGGTAGACACCTGATCAATACCGAAGTCAAACAATGGTGCGTGTTTTCTCAGTAAACGGTGCCGCCCTGTTCCCTCTGTGTGTGTGTGTGTGTGTGTGTCAGTCTGAGCTGGTGGCTGAGCTGTTCCAGCAGCAGGTAGCCGCTCCCTCTGTGGCCAATGGAAGCGTTCGCTCAGGAAAAAGAGCCGCCAGAGAACACAAGCTGACTGTAGGCTACCAGGTGAGCTCTTTTTAAATTTGTTTCTTTTTTTAAGACTCAGTCTCATAGTGCTTTTATTTTTTTTTTCAGTTTCGTCAGTCCTTACAGATGTTAATGGACACCCTGAACAGCACCACTCCTCACTACGTGCGTTGTATTAAACCCAACGACCTAAAAGCAGCTTTTATGTGAGTCTGTGCTGTTATTCGATCAGGCCGACCAAAGCATGTGTATTACTTTTTTTTTTTTGTCTTTGCGTGCACTCATAAAGGCCCGTCCTCCACATTTTACAGGTTCGACCCACAGCGGACGGTGCAGCAGCTGAGAGCTTGTGGGGTTCTGGAAACTATTCGCATCAGCGCAGCCGGTTATCCATCCAGGTGCTGGACACTTAATTAGTTGATCTCACTCTTTGTAGATAAATGAAATGGTGAAACGCCAGAGACGAAGTGACAGAGTCTAAACCTTCCATATTTTTAACATTTGAAGTTAATTTCTATCAAATGACATGTTTGCTTTTTTGGTTTGTCTCTGCATCCAGATGGACATACGAGGAGTTCTTCAGCAGGTACCGTCTCCTCCTTCGAGGACCCCAGAGCCAGGATCAGGCTCAGGCCTCGTGCAGACGGGCTCTGCCTCAGCTCATCCCAGACACCGACCAGTACTGCTTCGGAAAGACCAAAGTGTTTTTCCGAGCCGGTCAGGTGGCCGTCCTGGAGAGGCTGAGGTCCGAGCGGCTGCGTGCCGCTGCTGTGACCATCCAGCGCCACGCCAAAGGCTGGTTGGCTCGGATCAGGTACAGCCGGGTCCTGTGGGCGGCTGCTACCATCCAGAGATACACCAGAGGAGCTCTGGCCAGACGGTGAGGAGAAATGTTTATTATTGAGCGTCTAGCTTTCTGGACTTCCTCACAATCCACTGAATATCTGAACACAGTGCCTTACAGAAGGACTCGCACCCCTAGAACCATTTCATCTGTTTTTGGTTGAGTGCCACAAAATGATTACTCTCAAGTAGCCAAGAGTCCCATTGTTTTTCTGGGGGAGCTGCAGATGTCCACAGCTCAGGTGGGGAGGTGGAAAAAAAAATATTAGTTTTGCTTTAATGGACGCAAAACAAGAAAATATCTACTTCACTCTACAAAGTTGTCTCTTTAAAAGTGACTAATACTTGATCAGCATGTCTACATGTATAATGCGTCACAAAATGCTCATGTTTCCATGCCAAGACTAGTCACAAGTCGGTGTGTTTAAAAAAAAAAAAAAAAAATCATAGTGACCTGCAGTCACATTCATAGCAAAATTTTGCTTTTATCTTCTAATTTTATTTGCTTTTTTCAGTTTTAGTAAATGACCAGTTTGCTAGCTCAAACCAATGCATGTCTGAAAACATTTTATCTACTGTGTGTGTGTGTGTGTGTGTGTGCGTCTGCAGGCAGGCTCTGACTCTGCGCTACACGAAGGCTGCCATAGTGATCCAGAAGACGTACCGGATGATGGTGGTCAGGCAACTTTTCCTCATGATCCGAGACGCCACCGTCACCATCCAGGCCTTCACCAGGGGGACTCTGGCCCGCCGCCGATACAGACAGGTCAGCACTCAGTGCCGGCATATTATCTCTCTACCTGATGATGTCGAAGTTATGAATTACCAGTGATGGGATGTAGCGAAGTCCAGGTAACTTTAGATTTACTCCAGGTTACTTTCAACCTTTACTCCACTCTAGTTTGCATTAAATATATGTACATTTTTCCCACTGCATTTCCATAATGTGTTGCGTTACATGTTTCATTCACGTCACATTGCGTTTTTTTTTTTTTTTACATTTGCTTACAAGTTTGAAAGTAATCGATGACTTATTTGAACTAAAAAAAAATCCCCAGGAACCATTGAGACATTACAAAGTTGAATATAGAATATTTGTTTAATCTGTTCTGACAAACTGGAGTGGAAATGATCAGTGCTTACTCCTATGTTGGGGTGTCTCGTGTCGATCTAATTTTATTTATTTTTTGTCAGCCAGGTAACTTTTGCTTGTATGTTAAAATAACACATTATTTTAGCTTTGTGCTGAATAAAAAAACTTTCACAGGTATAATCATTCCTCTTTCTTATTTAGCTTGGTGGCATTTAACTCTGCAGGTCATCCCTGAAATAAACTCCCAGAGAGTAAACACAATGGAAAGATACTTTATCTGCAGTATTGTTCATTAACATGACACACTATTGATGCATTAAAGAGAAAATACTTACGTAAACCCTTCCAATAGAGAATACATTTTTACTTTCAGTACTAATTATATTTAAAAATAAGTGTCTACATATAAACAGACAAAAAATGTACTCTAGTAAAAGAGACATTTTCACTTAAGTTCGGTGTTTGAGCACCGTCTCCACCACTGAGTTTCACATCTGGCTTTAAACAAGTGAAAGCCTTTTGCTTTGCCCCTCAGCTGATGGCGGAGCGGGCCGCCGTGCTGCTCCAGGCGACGGTGCGTGGCTGGCTGGCGAGGCGGGCGTACCGGCGGGTGCGCGCCGCGGTCATATTCATGCAGTGCTGCGTTCGCCGCAAGGCCAGCAGGAGGGAGTTGCTGAGGCTGAAGGCCGAGGCCCGCTCCGTGGAGCGGTACAGGGAGCTCAACAAGGGCATGGAGGTCAAACTGATGCAGCTGCAGCTCCGAGTCGACCAACAGGTGGGTCACGGAGAGAATGCGGTTTCTAAAACATGACATTCTGCCGGATTAGAGATCTGGTTTCGTCACGTTTTAATGTGTTGTGGCAAGGTGAGGGAGAGCGCCGCTCTGAGAGAGACTCTCCACTCGGAGCGAGAGGCTGCCAGCGCCGAGCTGGAGGCTCTGAGGGGGATCATCCAGAAACTGGAGAACCAGAAACTGGAGAAGCCGCCGCCGCCTTCCCAGGCGGTCAGCAAGAAGGAGGTGGAGGAAAAGAGGAGAGCGGAGGAGAAAGCCGCTCAGGAGATCCTTCGACTCACACAGGTGAAATGATCCGAATGAAATCACAGGAGACGAGTTCCTACATTCGTCTTTTACTGGTTGCACAGCAAAAATGCAAAATCTTTCTAGGTTTCTCGTGCAAATATCTTAGTACACTCAACGTAAGACAAATGCAACTTGCAAGTAACTATTTAGCATGATGTAGGAGTTTAAGTTGATGATTCTTTAACATTTATTATTAATATCCCATATGAGGGAAAAATGTCTTGTTCCACTGGCAGATTTGAGTACTTTCTCATCAATATTAAGGAGCATAATTTCCCTTTGGGACCAATAAAATATGTATCTAACTGGCCAGTCGTCTCTATTTCTTGCTGGAAAGTTGCTTGTAGTTTAGTTTCATTTCAAGTGTACTAAGATATTTGCACCAGAAACGAGATCAAAATACTCATAAAATTTTCTATTTTTTTATTTATTTTTTTTTACTGTTGATTTTAATGCTCGTGTAATTGTCTAAGGAGATGCAAGCGTTGCAGAAAGACAAGGAGAACATCAGCAAGGAGAAGGAAGATCTCGCCGCTCAGCTCCACGAGAAAGAGAGAACCCAAAACGGTGCAGCTCCACTTCTTCTCCTTGATGCATTAATCACAGTTTTGAACACTTTTTTTTTTTTTTTTTTTTTTTACTTTTTCTTTCGGTTTATCCTCTTTATGTATGCAGAGTGTATACAAAAGGCCGTGCTAGAGGCCAGCGCGGCTCTGCAGTCCGAGCTGGATGAGGAGAAGATGAAGTACCAGGGTCTCCTGAGGGAGCTCACCAGACTGGAGCAGAGATACGACAACCTGAGGGAGATGAATCTGCTCACCGAGGTCCACAGCTGCACCTAAACGAGAGATCGTACTATTAGTCCAGCTGGATAGCTTCACTTCTCTCTCTCTCTCTCGTCCCAACGCAGCGCTCCAGAGGACACAGGAGGACCGACTCGGCTCAGAGTCTGATCTCCGAGCCTCTCTCTCCGTGCTCCACTCCGCTGTCGCCCCAGTCCCTCACGCCGCTCTCGGGGTCCCCCTTCGCATCGGCCTTCCCGTCCCCGGAGGAGAAGCGCAGGATCAGCGTGACGTCCCCGACTCCGGAGAGGAGAATCTTGGTGTTGAGCTCGGAGACGCCGCTGGTCAGGAAACGCCCCGAGAGGGAACGAATCTTTTGTTTTAAACTCGCGCGGGACGTTTTTGTGAACGACACACGGACGTGTTGGTGTGTTGGCTTCGACAGGATCAGCTGATGGAGAAGGTGGACGTGGCCAAAGACCCGGCAGTGAAGAAGAAAGGAGAAGACCTGGAGTACGCTTATGATGCCGTACGAGTGGCCAACAAGTCAGTCCTTCCTCCGTCGCTTCACGTATCGATAACCTTTGCACTTTTTTCCACATTTTGTCACGCCATAGCCACAAACTTCAGTGAATTTCACAGGTATTTCATATACACACACACCCCTCTATACCAACTTTACCCATTTAGACATTTTTTTTTTCTCCTAATTGGTCTTTGAAAAAATCAGTTTTCTGCTTAATGACAATTTTATGCACTGTAATTCATTCCGGGGTCTGAGACTAAACAGGGTTGTATACAGATGCGTGCCAGACTTTTCAAGGCTTTATTTGTAGGAACGATGTATAATTTCACCTCCACTTCACAATTATTAAGAAAATGCATTAGAGATTTGCAACAAACTGTGAAAAAGTTCAAGAGGTATAAACACTTTTTTTTTGTTGTTTTATTTTTAAGTGACTGTAGCTTCATGCTTGACGTTTTCAGCGAAGGTGTTTAATGTGTCCTGGTGTCTGTCAGGTTTCTGGAGAGCCAGCTGCAGAAGCAGCAGACTGAGTGGAAGGACGAACTCCAGGATCTGAGGAACCAGCTCAGTCACAAGATCTGTTCTGGTTCCTCTCCTGCAAAGAAACGGGTGAGGATGTAATGTAGTTGCTTAAAGCAGCAGCAGCGGCATTGTTAAATTTTTATTTTGGCATCCAACACCTCATTTACAAGAGAGATCTGTAACAAAGAGCAAGTTTAAGATGATATTTGGTTTTGTTTATCAACCATGTTTCCTTATTTGTGTTCAGATTTCTCCATACTAAACCATAAGCGTCAAACAGTGATCAGATTCTGGCAATTTATACCGTTTTTCAGAGCTTTCTAAACTTGACGGTGATTCTCCTGTTGTGACTGAACTGCAACAAACTTTGGATCCTCAAGTTAAGGGTCTGAATGTGTCTCCCATTAGGATGTGTGGCAGCTGCTGGAAGCCAGAGAGTTTGAGTGCATGAGGCTGCGGAGGGAGCTGAAGGAGCTGAGGCACACGGCGACTCTCAGACACCTGCTGACGCAAGGCGAGTCTCCCTCCGAACCCTTGACTCCTACACGAAGTAAAATCACTGCAGTGAAACAAACCGACGGTCCTGTGACGTCGTCTCCATTTGCACTTTTTTTTATTTTATTTTATCATTTTTATTTTAAAAATTTCTTGCACATTCAGTCAGGTTGAGTTTTTCTTTCATTTCCAGTTTCGCTGTCGGCTCCGATCACGGAGACGTTCTGTGCCGCTCGGCCGAAACCGGCAGCCGTCTCCGGTTTGCTGGAGTGCAGGAAGAGAGACGAAACCAAACTCATCAGGAACCTCATCGCGGGTGAGCACTCCGTCTCTGCAGCACCTTCCACATTTAAGCTCATTTTTAGTGCAGAGGAAGCAGAGTGTGGACAATGTATGGACGTAGGACGTGTTTAATTAATTTTCCTAAACTTTTATTTTATTTTGAAGAAAAATAAACAATTGTTTATAAGTGTTTGTACAATAATATATAAAGTCCTGTGATTGTGCGTTTTTTTTAAAATTTTTTCATATAATTTTAACTTTAAATATTGAGTTTTACACCTCAGTGTAACACCACTTGTTTTAGTGGTTTCATTCTTTTCCTTTTACATACAGTGTTCTTCTGTGCCAGGTGTCCCTTCAGTCCAAACAGAAACCCCGTTTGCGCAGCGGCACGACAATTATTCTGTCACATTTCTTAACCTCCTCTCCGATCCTCTCGCTGTCCCGCAGACCTCCGCTCTGAAGGCGCGCTGGCTCTGCCTCCCGGTTTGCCGGCCAGCGTGATCTTCCTCTGCGTCCGTCAGGCCGACTGCAGCGGAGACCAGGCTCGCGCTCGCTCGCTCTGCAGCGCCGCCCTCATGGCCATCAAGGCCGCTCTCAAGGTAACCGGAGCTCTGGTTGCTCTGCGTGTGCCAGAAGGGAGCAGTGAAATGTAATTATAGAGGCAGATCCCATCATGTTGGGTGGAGGGGGAGGGGGAAAGGGACCTGCAGCCAACTTTCAAGCACTTGGAGAAATTAAATGTTTTATTAAAAAAAAAAAACTTTTCTGTCAGTGTGATCTTGTTCTAACAGTGTTTTCCTTCTTCAGAAGCAAACCTCTGATCTCGACATGACTGCTCTGTGGCTGAAAAATGTTGCTCTTTTGCACGACCTGTTGTCCCAACATTCTCCAAAACAGGTAGCCGACCCCTGCTGGTCATTTTCAGTTTCCTGACGGGACGTGTGTGTGTGTGTGTTTTTTTTTTTTTAAACTGTACATGCAGTCTGGTTGTGTTTTCCATGATAACAACTCTTTGGTGTTTGGCTTCTCAGAGCCTGGACTCGGATGAGCTCGTTCCTATGACGACCGACCTGAGCGACTTGATCCGCTCCCTGAGTGACCTTTGTATTCAGGCCTATCAGCAGCTGCTCTCCATCACCGAGACACAGCTGCAGAAACTCATCGGTAACTCTACAGTGACGTCACGCCGGCACTGCCGACGCTCTTCCCTCCACTAAACTTTATAACTCCCCCTCTCCCTTTCTCGCTCTCCGCCTCAGTCCCGGCCCTCCTGGAGAGCGACACCATCGCTGGTCTGTCCGGCTCAGCGGTGAAGCTGGTCGTCTCCAGGAAGCGGGCGGGCTCGGACCCTCGGCCGCTCGGCGCCGACGCTCCCACCATGGCGTCTGTGCTGAGGCAGCTCGGAGCGCTTCACGCCGCCCTGAGCCGCCAGGCTCTGCCCCAGAGTCTGGCGGAGCAAGCTTTCCGCCAGATGACCTACCTCATCTGCGCCTCTGCGCTCAACAACCTGCTGCTGAGAAAAGACATGTGCTGCTGGAGCCGTGGCATGCAAATACGGTACACGGTTTTTTTTTTTTGTTTGGTTTTTTTTCATCCATTTAGTACCTTTAGTGTCATTAATTATGTAAGGAAAAAGGCAGAGGATCGGTACATCCTTACTAAAGTGTTCATGGCGGATAAACTTAATTCAACTGCCAATGTTGACACAAAGTTATCACATAATGGTGAAATAGAAGAGTATATTAGATGTTTTTTTTTAACTATTTAAAATGAAAATATGAGAAGTGTGATGCACCTTAAGTATTCAGCCCCGCTAAGTCAATATTCTGGTGTAAATCTCTACCAGCTTTGCTCATTTAGATATGGATCCTTTCGCTAATTCGTCTCATGAAATCGACTCGGTCATCGGTGAACTCAGCTTCCACTGTTTAAGAATTCAAAGATTTATTTTATTTTTTAATTGTCATACCATCTTACTTGTTTGTGGTACAAAAATCGGACTCAAAGATCCAAAAATGACATTTTGGCCCCGTCTAACCTGAGCAGCTGAGCAACTTAAAAAATATAAATTGAAAAAGAGACTTGGAGTTGCCCACTAGTTTTCTTGTAAACAGATTTGTCCACCTGAGCAGCAGATCTCTGCAGCTCCTCCATGCTTCCCTGATCAGGCACACACAGGTGGACTTTATTTAGGCAGATTGTCTGAATGCAGTCGTTTGTCTTGGATTTCATTTAAATTGATGGTTTAAATGGTTGCCAGTAGTTTTAAATTTTTTATTTTAATCATGTGACTTTTGTCCCACTTACCATTTTCACTACTCTGATGCATCTGGCCTACATGGAAAATGCCATGTGTGGCACTGAACATAAAGAAACGCCTGAGGTGAAATAAATAAATCTTCAGCAGATAAAGCCGTCAGTGGATTGGGGGAGAGAAGGAGCTCAAAGATTTAGTGAAGACTTAAGAAATGATGTTTAACGTTTTGTTCAAAATATTGAAAAGTATTTAGAAAGTTTTCCACTTTAAAATTGCTCATGACTTTATGCTGAATGTAATCCCATAAATTACATTCTAGTTTGTGGTTGGAATCTTAAAACAGAGATGCGTTCAAGGCCCCATGTTGAAATGGGAAATGAAATTAACCTGTAGGCTGTGACTAATCTTTGACAGCAAAAACTATAACTGCCAAAGCGCTTTAACACATCCAACTCATTTACCTGCGAACATTTTTATTGTTTTTAATTCCCTCAGTTACAATGTCAGTGTGCTCGAAGAATGGCTGCGCAGCCGAGGCCTGGCAGCAGGGGGCGCTGTAGCCACATTGGAGCCGCTCATCCAGGCAGCTCAGCTGCTGCAGGTGGGGAAAAAGACGGATGCGGATGCTCAGGCCATAGCCCGGACCTGCACCGCTCTCTCCAGCAAGCAGGTGGGTCCGTTTCTCACTTCCGGAAGGAATTCGTTTCAACAATATTATTTTCTACAGGCATTTTCTAAATCCAAGCCTCACTTTTGTTCTGCAGATTATGAAGATCCTGACTCTCTACACTCCTCACAGTGATCTTGATGAAAAAGTCTCTTTAAATTTCATTCGCACCGTCCAGGTATACCGCCCGCCTCTGTGGGGGGAAAAAAAAAATCTGGCATGGGGGTTCGTTAAAATGATGGCTCTCAGGTCAGTGCTGATCGTCTTCTCTGTTCCTATAGGAGCTCGTCAGGAGCCGCTCTGACAGTCAGCCTCCACAGCTCCTCATGGACGTGAGGAGAGCGTTCCCCGTTACCGTTCCCTACTCGCCTCCCCCGGCCCTCAGCGCAGACGAATTAGTCATCCCAGACTCCCTCAAGATCTCTTTTCTACGCAGATCCTAGAAGAGCACGACTCCACATGTTGAATGCTGCAATCTGAAATTTAAACACCTTTCTGACTATTGGTGCCGCTTTATTTTCAAACAAAAATTGTTAGTCTATAAGAAGCCCTCGGGTTGTATTTTTCTACCAACTTAATGAGTCCAGGATTACTGATCTCTGCTACCGTATCCAGTTCTATACTGATCATGTAGAAATGTCCGGGCTTAAATTTGAAGCTGAATGCAGGTACCATGTTGAAAAAATATATTAAAATCCCAGGTGCAACAAATACGTAAAGTTTATTAGAACTTCTGAATAGTAAATCATGTCTTTCCATTTGTCTCTGATATAAATATGGCATTAGAAACCTATTTGTTTAGATGCTCTCCCCTAGATGGCAATCAATGTTTCCACCACACACAGTGAGGGTGGAAAAGGAAGAAAAATCCAAAGCTCACTGTCAGAAGATGCCAAAATGACATCGTCTGCAGCATTTTTAAGTTTTAGAAATCGGCACTAGAAGTTTTCCACAGATCAGCTGGTTTGTTAGAAGACACCCCAGGCACAAAAAGTTTGTTCTGTGTTACCATCACAAACGTAAACATGTGGTGTTTGATAATCTCTACTCTGCTTTGGTCAGATCAGTCTAAAAAATGTTGTTTTTTTTCCCCCCCAAATAAATCAAGTTTTGTGAAAAGGCACCTGATGCCCACTGTTAAGGTGGAGGATCTGTGATGCTGTGGGCTTGTATGACAACATGAGCTCTGCTGAATAAATGGATGTCTGTCGAGAACATGCTTTCAACACAGGAATGACTCAATCTTTTAGATCGTCTAAAGCCAACAATTGACTATGGTGATTCTTATTAAAAATGAAATTCCTTAACATTTTATCTCCGATGTACTAAAAGGTCGGGTTGATAATTTTTTTTTAAAAGATATACAGCTACAATAAAAGAATCATATTGGCCAACAAATGTATCCACATCAGCGTAAATGCAGCTTCATCTTTGCACAAAGCGACAGACAAAAGTGTGAAATTCCCGTTTTCCATATTTTATTGGTAGCAGAAACACAGTTGGACTGTCGTCTCAGGAGCTTCAGGCCCCAACAACCAGAATAATAAAACAAAAACTAAATTAGAAACATCTTTTGTGTAAAAAAATTCTCATGCCAGTACTTTGTATCCACTACACGTCATCAGTGATACATATTTATATATTCACAAACATTTGAAAAATAGAAAACAATAATCCAAATATCAAAATATAGAAGACAACAATTGGCATTGAACATCAAATAATTAATGCGTGCTGACACACGACACGGTTTCTTTTTGTTTTTCTTGTTCCCGTCATGCACCGTTTCTGGAAGTACAAGAACCGGCGCCCCCAGGTGGTTCGGCCGGCCGGCTGGACAGAGCAAAGGGGTGGGGGGTGATCATGCATGTCTGTCCGCCTCCATGTGTCATGTATGTGCTTTTCATTGTGCTTCATCTACTTCCATATTCAACTTCAAACCCGACAGCCCAGAAGGAGGAAGACCTTCCTCGACAAGAGAATCATTGTCAACAGCAATAAATAAAGATTATTTTCGTGGCGTTTCCAGCTAGGTGTCAGTTGTATGACTTTTTTTTTTCTTCTTTTTTTTAATTAAAAGATTGTGCAGATGTTTTCTTCCAATAAAAAGACCTTGTACATGCAAGAGAGTTACACAACATTTATAAATATATTTTTTAAGACCTTTGTAGCCCACACGATGTAACGATGTGTGTACTGCCAGAGTCAAAGTCAGAAACTTTCATTTTAGTTCCTAATCACACGTCTTTAGCAGATCCATATGGCTTGTAATTCATCTCCATTATGTACACGGCCTTCCTATATCTTCAGCAGTAGCTCCATGCTCAAACTGGAAACCCGTTTGCGCTTGATATCCACCTGCTTGGGTCGCTCCATGCTAAATTCAGGTCTACAACAGAGCAGCAAATTTCACTTCACGTATTCTGACGCGTGTTTTTACATGGCAGCTATTTACAACGATCCGCTTCTGCTTCAGGTTCATCTTTTCCTACAACAACAAAACTTCAGTCTGATCGACGCCACAACAGCTTTTGATATTTGACCCAGAAAGCAGACGGCTTTTACGACATATCAGACACTTGTGCTGCTATAATTAGATTAATAATCCACCATGTAAACATTGTAAGTCTGATTCAGGAAGGACTCGTCTACACAGAGTTTACAGATCAGATGCATAGAGTTCAGTTGGTCCACTTTGTTCAATAATGGGGCCTTTTTAATTACTTAAGACCCAGAAATACATCTATTTGAGTCCTGAACAACATTTCTTCCACTTTATTCTTTTAAGTTGTTACAGAAACAAAAAACATAAAAATATTTAGTTTGAGAGGTTTCGTAAAAACAGTGAGATTGATGAAAAGTTAACAGAATCTAAAATGTTTTAAACCTCAAATGTTCAGGGATTTAATGTATTTTTTATCCTGAAATCTTGAAAGTCAAAACAACAAAAGACAACAAATGAGTTTTACAGCGACCGAGTATTGGAAACGTGTCTGTACACCGTTTGGACCGTAATGTTTTCCAAACAGGATGCCGACCAGTTCTGGTTTGGATCAGCAGCCCTTTGCCAGAGGCTTTTCTGGATTTCAGAATGAAGCACATGACATGTGCCTCATAAAAGTAGTGAACTTTTTACATTTTGTAAATTTAAAACCACAAACTTCCAAGTGTTTTCTTGGGCCTCTATGTGATGTGAACACTGGTTTCTCAGTCGGTGTTGTTTTTATGTTTTAAAGGACTTTGCCTTGTTGCTTAAATGTTTTGTTTGGTTTTGGTCGATCTTAATAAAATTCAGTAAGAAACTAAGTTTGTGGCAAAAATTAGACAAAAAAATGAAAAGGCATCACACAGCTAAACAATGTTGGTAATATTGAAGACCTGTGCTCACTCTCGCGTTAGTGATGTTGCACTTCACATGAAGCTACTTTGCAAAAATATTTTCTCTATGCATGTATTCGTTTGTTAAATAATTCCCCTTCCTCCTTGTTTGGCAGTTAGGTGCTTTTATTCTGAAAGGAAACGACATGGGTTTTAATCTCTCTGCTGTATTGCACGACTGACAGACCCAGACTGGGCTGCTAGGAATGTTTGCAGTAAAAACACAAAGGTTAGAAATAACAGAAAAAAATTAAAGTTTTGGCCTTAAAATGGTAAACAAACCAATAAAAAGTAAACGGATCCTCGATGGCTTTTCTTTGTGATTACGTGAGGTCGGCATCTTCACAATCACACCGAGTCCATTCTCTCTCTCTCACTCACTCACTCAGTCACGTATACTTATGTACAATCTGATGAATCACAGTGCTCAGATGTGTGCTTTCATCAGATTTCTCTCTCTCCATGCCGTCCCACACATGATGCAGACAGAGGGTGAGGGTCAACGGGACAGAAAGGCCTTGAGGGTGTCAGGCAGTGCTCTGTCACAGGGTGGACGCACGGAAAGACAGACTACGATGACCTCCATCGAATAATCCTATATGCTTATATATTTCCCTTGATATATTGTGTATATATGCATGTTCATATATTGAATTATTTAAATATAAATATAGATCTAGAATAAGAAAGTAATAAACTCGAGTGATAAACTAAAAGCGCTTTGTTTCCGATATCTGGAATGTTTTGAGCCCGTTTGTGTCGCGTGTCGGGCGGACGGTCGGTCCTGCTGTGCTTGGGAATGGTCTTGGCATATTTCAGTAATTATCTGTTGGCACTTGCGGTCCCTTCTCTGAGTGGGCACACACCAGGGAAGGGATGACAGGGCAGAAACTTAAAAAAAAAAAAAAAAAAAGAAAGTGAGAAAGAAGGCTAAAAATATTTAGAGGCTACAAGATAATTCTCAACCTGATCACTCAAGTGTGTGTGTTTCTCCACGGCAAATAGGGAAACTGCATCGCTAATCAAAACGGATCATTAAAACATATCGGCAACAATAAAGACACTGGTGGACTTGGTGATGCTCGTCTTTGCTTTGCGTCTTTGCCGCTGCAATAAAAGTATTTACAGCACTGAGTGTGTGGTGCCTCCTGTCTTATCTGTGCTTTTACAAGGCTGGGTTACCCTGGCAGTGACTTGCAGTGACTCAGGAGAGCCGCAGGGCAGTGGCTGTCTGACTGAGCTCCAGACATGGCGTTTTAAGCCCCACTCTGACATTTTTAAAAAACTTTTTTTTAACCACGGCCCTCCTCTGTAGAGCGCTGGTCGGACTTGAGCTTGACGAACTCTTTGGCCACGTCGTCGTTGTTGCGCTGGGAGAGGATGCGCAGAACGGTGAGGCCTGTCTCGTCCATGTGGATGCGCTTACCCAGCGGCAGCCAGCAGGCGGCGCTGCCCTTAGAGGCCACGTCCTTGAGCTGCAGGACGGCCATGCCCACGGTGCGGTCCTCTCGGGCGAAGCAGTAGTCCTTCACACACACCTGCAGCTCGTAGCACTCTGGACCCACCTCGTTGCTCAGTGTGCTGCGGAGCAGGGAGAGCGGGTCAGGGTTCGTTCACTTTTCCCACTTTAAAATTCAAGCACTTTTCAAGCATTTTTAAGAAAAGTTTTCAAATTTTTCCAGCCCCACGCTTTGGAGTTAAAACAATACAAATGAACTAACAAATGAACTATGGTTTGAAACACCTGGTCTGAGAACAAATCATTATTTTAACAAAATAGATCTCCCAATTTCAATAACATTGTTTTACTTATGATATATATGACAACCTTTATTTCAATTACTGAATAAGAAGTTAAGAAATTAGGTGTAATAAATATTCATTACACTGAAACAATCAAAACAAATGGTGTTGAGGTAAATGTGCTTCCTGTTCGAATGAAATACCTAAACACAATAAAAAAAAAAAACAGTTACAAAAACAAAAAAATTTCTTGGTAACTTTTCTTCCATTTAGCAAATAGAAATAATTAAGCTAATTCTAGTTGATCTGGAACGAGAAAAGTTTGGTCTAATTTAACTTCAGTCACTGAGAAAAAAAAATGTGTCTGTATTTGAAAACTTCTGGGTTCAACTATAACGTTTTCCAGATTTAGGCTTTTAATCAAACGTTAGATTGCACTTTACTACAAAACTGTTCCGTTTGAATATGAAGCACTTTCCAAACCTTGAAATTCAAGCATTCTCAAGGATTTCAAGCACCCATACGAGCCCCTGCGAGAGAGTGTTACATAACCCTCTGCAGCTCTTAAACCTTCTGAAAAACTGGTGACATCACCAGCAACTTACAAGGTGAAGGTTTCGTTGTATTTAGGCGCCCAGCTGTTGTTCTTCGACTTGGTGGCGTACTTCCTCTTCTTGTCGCTCAGGTGGGGGCCGATGATGTAGACCTCCACAAACGGGCGGAATATTCCCTGCGTCTGCCACCTCAGGTCGTTGGCAGCCACCACTGATGCAGAGAAGAGACAGAAAACAGAGGGAAAGCGAGTGGGAAGGTGTGGGTGATGACGAGAAAGAGGCTCATGCGGGAAAAAAAACAAAACAAAACAAAAAGAAAAAAAATGTGCGACACTGTGGAGTCGTGAGAAGCAGAGAGTGAAGAGGAACATCCTGGTGCTTTCTTGCTGCCTAGATGCAGCATCTTGCCCAGAGAGTGAAAGTAGAGGAAGAGAATATAATTCCTTCCAAAATTATTCATACCCCATGAACTTTAACACTTTGCTGTTTACTCTGATGCCCTTAAATAAAATCCAGTGCAATTAAATGTATATAGATATATACAGTATATCTGG